ACTTTTGTATTCGAGCCAAAACATACATCACTAAACTTTTAAAAGCATTTATCTTTCTTTTAAACAACTGAAGTAGCAATAGGAAGTGAATTCACATAAAACAACCCAAACGACTTGAACATTTTACTCTGTTGGCTACGTGCTCATGAGCCGTGAAAATGATGCAAATAACGTTGCAACGTTGTGGCGTTCATCCAAGGAGCCCATTAGAAGTCCCGTGTTCGTGCCGAAAACGCCTTTCGTTTGACAACTAGCAGGGTACGGGGGGGGGGGGGTACGTACTAATTTTCAGCAGGATACCGTAGGTTTGAGGTAAATGTAAACACAGCAGTGTATCACAGCAATAATGCAAGGAGGATATCTAAAGTTAGGAAGGCTGAAAACCAGAGGGTTCGAGCCCCGCAGACACGCTTCCCCTGAAACATTTGAAAAATCGAGGCTTGGAAAAGCATTCCCTGTACTTTCTGACACCAAACCAAAGAATTTGGGGTCCTGAATTAAAAATTTGCCCCCGGCCCCCGAATTTCTCTGTGATGCCCTCTGCATAGTTGAAGTACCTGGCCATGGAAAAAGCTCCGGCGACATAGTCTATTTTAAGAGCTGCATGCTTAGCTCTCTTTGAAAAGTGACAGGAGCTGAAGCCCTCAGTTTAAATTTAATTTTTAGATTTGTCCATGCCTTTTAGGCAGCGATTAAGAATTTTAATTTTACTCCCTCTATCCCTACAAATCTTCAGTGATGACATATATTATTTAATTCAACATGACATTTTCCCGCTTTTTCGTCGTAGCAGGTTAAGTGGAAAATCTGCTTTTGACGAGTTATAACAATCCTATCGTTAAAACTCGATCCGCTACTGGCCATTCTTTACGATACTTTCATAATGTAAACAGTATGTCAGCGGAGGGCCGATCAAGAAAAAGGGAACTGACTAGGAGATGGTCAACTGGAAAACTTGTAAGCACTTGTCAAGAGGTACCCCTGCCCGGGTTTGATTTTAGGAAATTTTAGACACAACCTTTTGATGTTGGGTAAAACCATTGAAAATTAACCCCCTTTAGGACTTAAGTTGATGAATTTCACTCATTAAACTACGCACATATTCATAATTATTATTAAGTAGGAATAAATCTTAGCTAAGCTATGACAAGCTCGTGATTAATTGCTTTTTCTTTTGTTATGCACTGCTTTATTAGGCACAGAGGCGAAAATATGTGATTATGACTAACATTCTTTATCGGACTCGTAGGCCTACATACTTATTTTTCTCCACTTGGCATGAAAAACATGTCATTCAATAGCTAAGCCGAGTAATTCACGTACAATAGCGTGCTGAAGTTCGATTACACCTTTTTTTTTATACACACTGTATTTCACCCGCCAAGATAAAAGTTTGAAATACTAAAAGCCCTCTTCTTAATTAAGCTAATATTGTTTAATTTTTTGTTATATTTTAGACAGAACGGACTTTCACTGGGGGTGGGGTGGCGGCACCAACAAGGCAACAAAGTTCACTAGACACTAACAATTTTTATCGGACTCGTATTTGCTCATTTTTTCTCAATATTGGATTCATTCATGTCATTCAACAACCAAAAGCCTGATCTTTATGATTATGAAAAAATTACGTTCATATACCGAGTAATTAATGCATTTGGATTTCGTTTTTTTAGACGCCCTGTATGTCAACAATTTTTGTTGCCTGTCATATATGGCACTGATGAACTTTCACATAGCTCTAAATTTCGTGTCGCGGTGTACCAGCGGTGGTATATCACGTGACAGATTCGTAAAATAAGACAAATACCGAGTTTTTCCGACGAGCATTTTCATGTGATGTGAATCACTCATGCACGTTTTCGTCGAGGAAAAGCAGAGCAAATATTGATTGTTCGCCGAGAATTTACGTAATTGAGCGCCTTAGAAAAATAAAGCGCCGTTCTTAATTTACCTTATATTCCGTTATTTGTTGTGATTTTGGAACCGTTGTGGTCGCACTGATTATTTATCAGGCGTTATTAATATATCGTGAAAGGCCACGCTATCAAAATACTCATTTTTTATATGCTCAAATTGAAACGAAGCCTTTGTGCTCGCACTGCAGTACATTTTGTAAATAACATGAAATATATTCAAAATATCGAACAAAACTGCCATCTATAATACTATTGAAATTTAATAACTTCTTATTAATTTAATCGAACGCGAGGTCTGTGCAGAGAAATATCGGACCGAGGTCTTTTTTGTACAGACCGAGCCCGTACGGCGAGGTTTGTACAAAAACACTGAGGTCCGATATTTCTCTGTACATACCGAGCAAGCGAAAGCAAGCGAGGTTAATAAAAAGTTTATTATATGCCATTTATAGGCATTTAGGCCTATACTTGAAACAAACAAGAAATGCATGATTTGAAATGCATATTAGTAGCGTGGTATACATTTGGTTGGAGAAAACAACAAAATACCAATGTTTTCCTTCTTTTCCACTAAAAACCATTCGCAGATATTTTTTAATAACAAATGAAATTATAATTTTCAAATTCAATTAGTTTTGCTGTTTTGTTTTAAATTGCGTGCGTTTGTTTTTACGTAATGGACCGTCAATCCATTACGGGAAATAATGGACCGCCGAAAGTGCTTCTCAGCCAATCACACTCCGCCATTTCACCGGAAGTGAGGCACAACGAAATATCATTGTTCTTCGACAATTTCAATCGCAGTCGAGATTATTTTCAATCTGTTACCTTCAAAAAGCCATAATAAAACTAAATTTGTAGGAAATAACATTATTTAGTTATAAATTTGTATAAAAGGAAATCTAACAGTCAATCAGTGATAAAACTTTGACCTTGTTATCAGGGGTGGAAAAAGTATCGGAACCTGGGAACCTAGTTCCCAGAAATTTTTTTGAGTTGAGAGTTTTGCAGAAAATTTTCCAGAAAATATTTCAACATTTTGAGATAATAAGCAATTATTGGATTCGGCTTTCGCATGATATCAAGAATTATTCAGACCTCGGTCAATGTTATCTGCCGAAGCGAAGCTGAGGAGGATAACATAGACCGAGGTCTGAATAATTCTTGATATCAAGCGAAAGCCGAATCCAATAATTGTTTTATTATACATTTAAAGACATGAGAAACGTATAAAACGATTCCTGTTCATGAGGTAGGAAAAGTACAATTTGAATATCAAACACCTTGCACAAAGTCAAAGGTCAGTTAAATATTCTATTTCTACTTCTATTTACCCCTTCGTTGCTTTTTTCGTGCTTTCACTATCCTTATCTGCCAATAATTTGGAGAGTTCACTTTCATTTAGCGAAGCAAATCTGCTGTAGGCCATTGTTTGTTTGTTTTTTTCGCGCGCTTATAGGTTCAAGCTTTTGGCCGCGCAAGGGTTTGGGCACGAGAGAGTCCAATAATTGTTTTTTTGGATGCAAGTTCGATCCAAAAAAACAATTATTGGACGCTGATGGCGTCATCGGCGGAAAATACGTAATAAATGCCGAATACTGAAAATTAGCCGGTGCTTTCTGAACAATTAGAAACGAGAATACATATTAAATGTATAATAACTCTGTTTACTCAACTTACAAGTTACAACTATTCTACTTTATTCACACTGTACATGCTAACATCAGCAGCTTTTAAATATTTGACAGAAATTAATTCTTTTACCAACCCCTGCCATCACAATGACTGGTAAAATGGTAAATATATGCTCTGCAAAGTCTCCAATAAAATGAAAATTAAAAGTAAACAAATAAAAGTGATGGAGTAAATAATATGATAGGACAGTTAAGCGTTAGATCCTTACTACGATGTTTGTGATGTTATTCTGAGTGTGTATCCACACCGGGCAAGCTTGAAAAATATGCCTGGCCACGGTGGGAATCAAACCTATACGACCTTTGGAATACTAGATTACATTGATGTCGAAGGAACTAAACTCAGTTCCGAAATATCACATACTCGAACCAACCTGACCACGTAGCTCAGTTGGCAGAACATTGGGCTAGTAATCCAAATGTCGTAGGTTCGATTCCCATCGTGGCCAGGCATATTTTTCAAGTTTGCCCAGTGTGGATATACACTCAGAGTAATATCACAAACATGCTCACCTTAGTACATAACACCAACACAGAAAAAATCAAGATCCTTACTAGTTGGTCATAACTCATAACTGTGGTATATAACAGACAACTATTGTGATGTACAAGCGTACGAAAACCAGCCTAAAGCTCATTATTACTAAAGTATATACAAATAATACAATAATTATGCATTTGTTTTGTTATATTTGTAATTGTAACATTACAAATTTTACAGAAAATTTCTAGCCTTTGACCCAGGTTCCCAGAAAGAAAAAAAAATTTTCCACCCCTGCTTGTTATTACCGGCGCTTGCAACTAAGGATGAACAGTCGCTCATAAAAACATTGCCCATTCGCGTGGGAATCTTACGCTTTCTTATTTTGACATAATAGCTATTTTTCAATAAATATTAAACTTATTGAATCAATATTTTAAACTGCGTACCTATTTTTTAAAGGATCTTAGTGCTTGCTATCGAGGCCAGAAAGGATGGTTCAGGTCAAAAGACTTGCCACAACAAGGCGGGCTCAAAAATTAGTCTCCCATCTTAATTGGGGTTAAAAAGTCACACAAAAATTTGGGGTTTAAAAATAAACACTCTAACAGACGCTTAGAGTTAGAAGTGAAGTTAGAAATGATGAAAGGCAATTCAAATAAGATGCACTCTATATATATAGGTGTACTCCGTAGAGCTAGGTATATATTGTAGAAAGCTTCATTGAGATAAAACAGCGGTAAATTTTTCTTTCTTTAGAAGAAAGTTCTATATTTATATTCAAACAAATCTTATACATTATATGAAAATTACTGTAAATACAATTCAAACCAGTGGCAAGATCGGCATAAACTGATCGGTGGCCATGCAGGGAGGGTTCAACTAATGTGTTTGTTGGCATGAACAAGGGCTGAAAATTTGCGCCTCTCAATAGGCCACTATTTGATAGGTGGTTAGCATTCAAATTAGAGCTGTTGACGTATATGGATCTTGGGAATGTTGTTTCCTAGTCCCATGCCCCCTTCGACACTTTCTCATTGGATTTGGAACAATTGCTGCGGGTTCCGCCCATTGTCTACTGCCTATCCTTGCCACTAATTTAAACAATTAGTTAAGTTAAAATATTAAATCTATATCGACGTTTGCTCTAAGAACTACCGATAAAATATTATTAAAATTGACTGACTTTGCTCTAAGAGCGTTACGTGCTAAAAATCTAATGATTGTGTGAAAATTAATGAAGACTCTCACTGACTATGTGCCATGCATTACTACGAAATTTAAGTGTACCTATTAATTTGATATTTATACATGATGATGAGTTACTATATTGTAATAACAAATAGTACCACAAGTACTGTTAGTACTAATGCATGACTAGCTGTTTAATAGTATGATGACTATTATCTACCGAACCACGTCCTTCATCATTTCTTTATGTCTTGTTAGAGTGTTAATTTAATGTTTTCCGTATTTGTTAATGAAGACTCTGTTTTGTTCTGTTTTCCTTGAGGAATCACAAAGGGCTGCAAAAAAATATACAGTATGTGAACTTGGCGACTTTGATGCGACGATGGATAGTTTGTATTTGTCATTGGAGCTGAATGGAAAACCTTATCTGGTTTTAAAATGCAATGGACAAAGGTCTCCAAGTAAATATACTATAGCTAATTCGTAAAAGGTTGTCCTTTGCAAACCTTAAACTCTAAGCATGCAAAGAATAATGAGAGCATTATTTACTCAGTTTAGAAATCATAATATAGGGCTATTTCTCAGAGACATGGTAAATATCTCCTTACGAGAACAATTCATTCACAAATAGCTGCAATATTTTAACTACTAAGCTTGAAACTTGTGCTCCCATTAAGCTTTGCGTGCTTAGACTTAAGGTTTAAGGTTTAGACTTTAAGGTTTGCAAAGGACAACCTTTCTTGAATTAGCTGTATTCAGTTTAAAATGTCTTAAGTCCGGATGAAACGAGGATAAGAGTGCATGAGAGTTGGCAGTCACGTGACGTTGGTCGGCTGTTCTTAATCTCAACACTGTCATGTATTTTATTTAAGTTAAAACGTAATTAAAACACTTACTACAGTATATTAAATTTTTATTTATTGTATCTTGTTAATCTAATGCTTGCAATGTCCCGCGTAACAATTCGTGACAACAATACGTGAACTCTCAATACGTGAACAGTACGTGAATAATACGTGAACTCTCGTTTGATCGAGGCTTTACGGTTAGTTTTTAGAGAAAGACGAAATTGTACGCATTACCATCTCTTGCAGTAACAGTGAAGCATCGATAGAAAGTGTTCCAAACTTACTGTGCTGGGTCTGGTTCGTCATCGTCACCATCAAGCGTCATTGGTGCAAACGCCAAAATAATTCCGAAGTAGCTGGGTGTCCACCAGTACTCCTAGCAATACCTCGTCTAAAACTGACTCTGTCAAAATTTACAAAAGATGTTTGAGTAAAGAATTCTAACATATGCGATGTAAGGCAGTCATACATGTCCGCAGCTTACAGAGGAACTCGCGTCAGCCGTATTTGTGCTTTCTTTGCGTTATCTTACGATTACGAATGAACAAAAATTTCCTTGGTTAAACGAACCAAATCTTTATTGCTTTGTATAATAAGCCACAGTATGGCGACCGTGTCCTAATTGTCTAGATTCCACCATGCACTGCTTGATGTAACGGCAATTGCCGTTCGATATTAAATTATCCGCGGCAATTGTTTGCCAATGGTTATCAAAGACATATCACTTACTATATACGCTACAAAGTAATCTATCAAAGACATTAAAAAGAAATTAATTTCATATAATTCTACAACAGATCAATATTATAGATCAGTTTTCAAAATTCAAAAATCCATTTTTAGCTTTTAATTATACGCATTTTCAAATTATCATTTTCGGAAAAATGCCGCCGAATTGTAAAATATCGACGGCAATGTTTTGTCTACGATAAATTTTATTTAATTGTGAGGACTGTTGTTTGGTTTCAAAATTTACCAAGTTACCTGGAGTGTCCGAAAATATCGGATCTTGCAGCAGTTCCTTTGCCGTTGGTCGTTTCTCGCTATCAGGATTGAACATACGTTTCAGTAAGTTCTTCATTTCTTCAGAGCAATTATTTGGTACTTCTGGAATTTCCCCAGAGCCAACCTATCAAAACAGATTTCAAAATATTGTTTCGTTGCAAAACCGCCGTTGGCAAGTAAAGATAAATTGCCGTCGCATTTTAGTTTACCTTTTTTCGTTTACAATTACCCAAAGTGTGTTCGTATATAATAATACTTAATATTGATCTATAGAGGATGAATTAAATCATTCCTCTTCTAACCTTGAATATAACAGTATCCCATTGATATCCTGCCCACGGAGGGGAACCTGTCAGCAAATAACTCAAGACACCAGCAGCTTCATAAATATCAACACTTGGTCGATATTCCCCATGACCACAAAATAACTCCTTGGGCATGTAAGTGACTGTACCACAAAAGCCGATATTTAAGGTTTCACTACGATCCACAGCCAATCCAAAATCACCGACTTTTACGTCGTTATCACCATATAAGATGTTGTCAGCTACAGAAATAATTATCAATATAATTACTAAATAATTGAACACACATGCATCTACATGTAATTAAATATATAGTCCTCACTTGAAACTCACGGCCCCAAAACGCATAAAAAGCACAATGGACGTGGATATGTTTATTTCCTTACAATTATTTTGAGCGTTGCATTTTGCATAAGATTGTTTCCATGCCCAAGTTCATACCGGTGAAACATAGAAGGTTAAATTGCAGTTCAGTTGATTTTAAATTTTGGAATTTTCTTAATTGAAAATCTGTATGGAACCCGAAGAATAAAGAGAAGATAGTTTGCTAACTTCTAGATAAATTGTTCCAACAGTTTGGTAAGATACCTCACTTTTTCTTTCTTTAATGAAATCGACAAAAGATCAGTGTGCGAAAACTTACGTTTTAAGTCACCGTGGACATATCCTTTCTCGTGCATAAAAGCAAGACATTTGAAAACTGGTTTCATCAGAGCAGCCGCATTCCTTTCACCAATATTCAGGGTTTCACGGTTGTCAGCGATGTATTTAAGTGTACCTGTTTAAACAAGATCGTATGTTCTTATGGTAAATTGTAAAGGTGAAGAAGACTAATACACTTTACTTAGTAGATGACAATAGCGTGATTTTACCAAGAAATGAGAACATGAAAAATCTAAGAGCGGATTACACGGTAATAATTACTAACCCTCATCATTACTAACCCTCAATATTTTTCGAGTTAAGCCCTTCGAGTTAAGCCCTTTTCGAGTTAAGCCCCTGTCACGCCTTTTTTCGCCGGGGGCTTAACTCGAAGTCAATTAACAATTTAAGCATTCGAGTTAAGCCCTGACATTTGGTGGATGTAAACAAGTGACGCGTGTATACTCGCAAAAATATTGGCAAATATATGTAAGGAGGAAGAATATAAAATTTCAGCAATTTTAAGAAATATATTTTACTTAGATCTCTGTTGCTTTGCCTACAGTTTTATACAGACAATGACATCGTGAAACCAGAGAGCTTTAATAATAAGGATTTGTAAACAACAGCTCATTCACGGCGGCAATTACGGCTTTAAAAACTAAATATTACATTATTTAGCCCTTATTGAGCTCTCTCGTTTCACGATGTCATTGTCTGTATAAAACTGTAGGCAAAGCAACAGAGATTTAAGTAAATATATTTCTTAAAATTGCTGAAATTTTACATTCTCCCTCCTTACATATATTTGCCAATATTTTTGCGAGTATACACGCGTCACCTGTTTACATCCACCAAATGTCGGGGCTTAACTTAGCCTACGGTGTAGACCCCTGGGGTCTACATGTCCGTAGGCTAGGCTTAACCCGAATGCTTAGGGGCGGACCATTAGAAATCCCGGGAGGGGGGGTTTAAAATTTTTGCGGCACGAATTTTTTTTTCAGTCTCATGTGTCTGCAGGAATTTTTTTCAATGCACTTAACCTCTGCACGAATTTTTTTTTCAAGACTACTTGTACTTTGCTCATGGCGACCTCCCCCCCCCGTCGCCAAAAAAAATTTCGGTCAGTGTACCATTTTAGGGGTCAAAAATTTTTTCCGGACATACCACATACCAAAAGTTACCACAAAATTGACAGAATTTGTCAAATTTTTTTTTAATAAACTAAAATTGCCCGACTGTTCAGCGAATATTGCCCGACTGCCAACTGCCCGGTACGCCCATAGATATAGGATATCTAGATTGCTAACGCATACCTAGCGCAGGCGGGGCCTGCATGATAAATCCAAGATGGCGGTACAAGAGGGCAAAAAGACTATAGATTCTATTACGAAAATCAAGGTTTTTGCATTTTTTGCCGTCGCATTGTTTTGAAACTTATTCGGTCAAATTTTATGGTAAAGAGAAACTTACCGCGAGGATTTTGAGCATAAATATGATTGAATTGGATGAAAACTCGCAAAATTATCCAGCGATAAAAAAGATATAGTACTATATCCAGTGATATAGTACTATATATGTAACTTGTACAGTTTTGCTTTAATTTTTGCTCACTATTTGCATAGAAAGCAAATTATAACAGACCATAGATGATAGACCCTTATCCAGTGCTCTCATCAGTTTATTATAAGTAATAGCATGGCTTGAGGGAGATTAGTGATTAAATCACAGGGGGTCCAACTAAGAGCTGTGTTATGAATATGAATAAAACATTAATTAAACGTAATATGAATAAAACATCATAACGTAATATATTTAAATTATTGCACTTACTTGTATAAATCATAAGAGCTTTTATTTGCAGTGAATAGCTTTTAACAGGGCGCTTATACACGCTCAGAAAATCGCTCAGAAACACTTGATTCGAACGATTGTTCAAATATGGCGAATAAATTGACAAAACGAAAATATTACATGACGTTCCAACGAAAATAACAGCAAGGATTGCGGGCGTGAGCGGAAGGCGAGGGTAATAGATATTAATAGAAGGGATGAAACACCGGTAATGCGATCGTGTGATGTGTTCCATAAGTAGCCTGTTCTCTCGGAAAATTCCAAAACGCCTCCTGCCAACTCCAACAACGCCTACGCGCTTAATTAATGAAAATAAACAATGTTTAGCTATACCGGCTAATATGAAATGTTTAAATGTAGCGACCAACGGTTTTTTTTAACATTATTTAGTTTTATTATTATTTCGTCATACGTCACGAGAACAGGCTACTTATGGAACACATCTCGCGATAATGGCCAAGAATGCTCGCTGTTATAAATCACATAAATTAGATTGATCAGTGCTTTTTTGGTAATGACTAGGCTTGTTCATGTAAGAGAACATCGACTGAGCCTTAAAACCCCCACAAAAAGCTTAAACGGGTAGTCTAGAAGCATTTTAAAAAGTCACGTGATATTTGTTTCATCCCTTCTATTTATTTCTTCCCTCGCCTTTTCGCTTGCTCGCGCGCCCGCAATCCTTGCTGTTACTTTCGTTGGAACGTCATGTAATATTTTCGTTTTGTCAATTTATTCGCCATATTTGAACAATCGTTCGAATCAAGTGTTTCTGAGCGATTTTCTGAGCGTGTATAAGCGCCCTGTTAAAAGCTATTCACTGCAAATACAAGCTCTTATGATTTATACAAGTAAGTGCAATAATTTAAATATATTACGTTATGATGTTTTATTCATATTACGTTTAATTAATGTTTTATTCATATTCATAACACAGCTCTTAGTTGGACCCCCTGTGTTGTGGATGGTCAAAAGTAATATTTTTTAACATTTAATACACAAAGCAAACAATCGTATATTTTACTCACCGCTTGGCCAAACATTCTGTATTTCGTATCGAGAAAAACTTGAATATTTCTTGAACTCTTCGGAATTCGCCACCAGTCAAAGAAGTAAAATACTCCTTGTATTCAAGCGCTTTCGTGTAGAAAATTTCTTTTGAATACGGCCAGTAGAAATATTTATTTTTAATTTTTCAAAATATCGGGGTTTTACTCGCACAGTCGCACGCGCCTGTCACACGCTGATGTTCGGGAATTAGTTCACAATCAGACCAGGAATGGAAATACCATAATAAAAGATGAAGTTTTCAAGATACAAGCTCACAAATAACACTCTAAGTAGTGTTTTGAATTCGCTTTCGAACAAGAGTAATACAAAGAGGATGCGTCCCAAGGAGCCGAAGTTATGTTCGCCGAAAGGTATGCCTAGTTTATATTTATCAAGTGTAAACATTGCGTGATTTGATATTAATATACAAAATCACGCTTGACTTTCAAAGGTCATAAATCGCTATAATGTTGACATTTCACTAAAACTATCGATAGAAACTATGAGATATTTTTGTACTGAATCGAACGGTGGTATTTTCATCTACATAGGTTATATTGAACCAAAGATACTGACCTCCAAATAAATCAGGTCGAAACCGACTGAAGGTCACGTTTGTTTATAAATATTGCTGAAGTTGAAATAATTGAATTGTATTTTCAGTCTTGATAATAAATTTAATAATGGTTCTGTATGCTATACATACTCATTTTTTTTCTTTTATGCGGTTTTGGACACATTTCTAAAAATACAAATGTCAAATATAAATTTAAATAAAAGTTTCTTCGCTTGCAACCAAAACCTGTTCGCTAAATACGTTGTTTCCATGCATCGGTTTTATACTGTAGATGGAGACCTTGTCTAGAAAAAATGCAGATGTTTTCTCGCAAACTGAACATAACACTTTCTTATTTCGTAGAGCTAGTAAATAATCTCTTTGTCAGCTTGTTGCAGTATTGTAAAGATATATTTTCTCAGTCATTTTGACTTGAATTTTGCGTTTGGTAATTATAGCCCCCCCCCCCCGGTTTACCGCCATATTGGGTGTGGCATCGCGCAGAGGCTTCGCGCCTTCATAGTCAATTAAAGCCTCTGCGGAGGAGAGAGTGTTTACGCAACAGGGCCGTAGGAAGCTCTTTTCGATTGGGG